CCCCAAAACCCCAAAACCCCAAAACCCCAAAACCCCGTAAATTATTTTAAACATTGATAAATATAATAATGTTGATGAAAGAAGACATTCCAAGTATGATGATTGATAGCTTCCATCAAGTTGTTAACACCCTTGGTATTGGCGGAGCAGGAGAGGTGTATTCAATCAGAAACGTTAAAGACAATACTATGTTTGCTGCAAAATTTGCAAGAAAAGATTTAAAGGTGACAAAAGCTAAAAAGCTACTGTTGTTGCAAAGAGAAAGAGACACTATGGAAGAGTTGAATGGTCACCCTAACATCTTGTCAAGTTTCCAACTTCTCAAAAGAAGAAAGGCTCACTCTCAAAAGAATGAGTTTGAAGCATGTAAACGGCATTTCGGTGTCCATTTAACAACCGCCCCATATCATATGATAGAATATTGTGAGAATGGAAGCTTTATCAGTTATCTGAGAAATCAGGATTCTTTGCCTGAAAATATAACTTGATATTACGCTGATCAGCTTATCAGCGCAATTCACTTTATTCACAATAAAGGATATGCTCACCTAGATATCAAACTGGATAATATCTTACTCGACAATTACTTTAATATCCGTCTATCCGATTTTGGTTCGGCCTTAAAAATAAATGATCAGCCATTCACTTCCATCCGCAGAGGAACTACAAAATATATGGCACCTGAAGTACGGTATCTTCAGGAAGAAGAAACCTTTGATGCATACAAGGCAGACATGTATTCACTTGGTATTTGTCTCTTTCTGATGCTTTTCAAAAGGTTCCCCGTCTATGTTGAGGATATAGAGTACCCTGAAACAGTCAACCTTTTCAATGAAAATGAGACACTCGAAGCATGCCCCTTCGACTGTGACATTGATATTTGGAAAGGTCTGTCTATTCCGACTAAGAGGATTCTTTTATCCCTTCTTAATGAGGATCCGAGCGAAAGACCCTATATTAACCAGTTCATTGAGTTTTTCAGGCTTCCAATATTGGATGAATCAATCACTGAAGTTATCTTCGATGAGATGCAAGCCAGAAGGACAAAATACGAGGAAGATTCTTACGAGAAGAAGTTTATTCAGCCTGCTGCTTGCTCAAAGAATTTAATAACACATAAAAATTGAAATAAGGCTAAGGAAGTTAAGACACCGTCCAACAAATCTGGATCGAGCACTAATGTTACCAACTAAAAGCTCATGTCCCGGCATCCATAGAACCTCAGGTTTTAAGTGTTCAGTATAGCCAGTGCTAACAATCTCACTGGCTTGTCAAGCACATGTAAGTATAGAGGCTTCACTCTTAACTTATCAATTGATAATACTAAAGTGAATCCACCTCTATTACTGATTTATTTCTTATTATTTCACCTGGAATCTGGAAGTCGGGGTTTTGGGGTTTTGGGGTTTTGGGGTTTTGGGGTTTTGGGG